GGAATTCTTTCCATTATTTTTTTTCATTACTAATAATTTTATTAGGAATTTATTTATTTTTATTGTAAACGGAACATGCACTTTCATAAATAATTAATTATAATAACTAATCATATATTTTTATTTATATTCGTATATTATATACGGTTTGATATTAATATTACGTATATGTTTAATGCAAGTATAATAAGGTACATCGTACTAAGCTAGGAAGTAGTAAGTAATAAGGACTTTAATCTCTATAGATGATTGTCAGCAAAGGCATTCCAAGTTTTTTTGTCGGAGTAATGAAATTAAAATAAGCAACAACTAGCAATCTTTGCTGTAAAACTTAAGAACATCGCTGACAAATATTTCGTTCGCTGCGATGAAATACAAGCAGTCGATTTGTTTTACATGCACACGTTTTATTTTTCACTGTAAAACCAAAGTCTTAAAGTACATACAGCTCAAATGTGTTTTTTTCTTTTTTGGGCTTAAAATAAAATTAAGACAATTTTAATTTTTAAGTCTTAAAATCAGTTTTCTATTCACAACTGCTTCGATTATTAATTAAATACTATATTTTCCAATATAGTTCCAGCTCCTTTTATTTGTTTCTGCCATCTCACTGTGGGTCATTTTCTCAAAAACCTGACCATAGTTAAAATTTAATTTAAAACTGACTGAAACTTGATACTCGGTAGTTTCTTGTTGATTTCGAACCCAATTAAACCGTTTCTGAATTATAAAATAATTTCTAATTTTTTTTTTTTTTTTTTTTTTTTTTTTTTTTAATTTTATTTTAATATTAGATCCAAGTAAAGAACTTTTTTCAATAATGTTAAACTCTTTACTTTTCTGACATTTGAAAAAACCGTCCTTGTTTACTTTGTCAGAAACATTTTATTTTTAATTTTAAATATACAAAAAATATTTATAGGTAAAATGAAAAATTTTAACAGTTTATTTATGACAAAAAAAGGCAATTAGGCGGCAATGTTTACTGATCGTGAACATGTCGAAATGTCGAAACCAAGTTTAATTGTTTTCGTGAAATCTTCCACTTTAGTCAGTAGGGTCGGCAAAGTAAAAAGATTGCGATGGCTTGTAATTGTCTCTAATGACAGACTTGTGTTCAGAAGGATTCTGGAACCGCCTGGAATCGTTGGAAATGCGGAATAGACTTTCAACCATCAACAAATGAACCATTGTGTCCTTTAAAATAACTAATACTAAATGTGCCCTTCATTTTTATTCGCCGATTGTTGGTTTTGCGTCAAATTTTATCACTTTTCATTTCCTTCCCTTTTTTCAAATCTGTTAAAGTTTTAATATAACTATTACATGGTAATTTCGCTTGGTTTTTTAAATTTTTGGTCAATTTCTATAATTTAAGTTACAATATAAGTCAAAAGACTTATATTGTAACTTAAATTATAGAAATTATTAGTTTGGCTATATTGTTTCCTAATTTTGATGCGGGTAAAGGAAGAAACGAGGCAAACTTGAGTATTTTTATACTTACCTTATTGTTCAAGTTTTACTCTCATATATACGAAAATGTATAATTTAGTTAATTGCTTTTACGTGAGATAAACGGTGCACCTTTATTCTGATAATAATTTCTCTATGAAATTAAATCGAATACTTCCCACAAGTCAGGGATATGATCAGTTGTGAGCTTGAGGCAAGATGTTATCGTTCACAAGTCTTCTTACCAACTGTTTCCTTGTGCCTTGTGCGAAGGTATGAAGTGCTCGATGAAGTGCCCAGTCTTCAAAGAATACAAGTTTTCAATAGATTTAAGCTGATTATACTTCCTCGCTTTTTTAAAATTCCAGACACTAATTTTCTATATGATAAATTCTACTTTATTCAATTAACAATAGTCGTAGGTTTTTTATAAAATAAGGACTGAAAATGACTTTGATTGTTGAAAATGTTGGATTGGGTCCCGGATTATGAAGATAATTTCCAAGGCACATTAGAGCGGTAATTGATTTACACATTGCATTTAAATAAATGTTTATTATCTCTTAGTTTAGCATTGGGAAGAGGCAATCATATTACTGCCGTGCGAAATAAAAATTCACTTATTTTTGTAAACTCAAAACAAGAGTTGTAAACATATTCTAAAGTCCAGAATATGTTAACAACTCTTGTTTTGAGTTTTTGAATTTTAAAAATAGGTACCTACGTATATGTGCTTTAAAAAGCAGAATAAATGGTAGCAGAAGAGAAAGTAAGAGGACTAACACCTTAGGCTTGTTTTATACCTACACGTTCGCACAGAGGATAGGAACGCAAAGTCGGTGACGTAGAATAAAAGATCGTCTTTAATAACAGCTTCAGGACATATAGAAGAGACGTTATCTTCCTGAGTGGCCGTCTTTAACTTCGAGATGCAGTGTGTATTAAAACGTTAATCTTTACTCCGCTACTAGTCATACATGCAGATGGAGACTAAAACTTTGCATTCCTTTAAATATTATTCAAATGTCCAATCACTTTTATTCGTCACTCAACAAATTGAGGACAAAAGTAATAAAAATTCAAAATCGAAACAGCAACAGAATTTTAATACCTTTTTGTACAAATCAACATTATTTTAATTTTATATACTTTTAAATGTTGATATCAAGAATAATCCTCTTACCATGACATCTTATCGTTTTTAAGGTCCGCTGAAGTCAAATCTGAAGCCTGAATATTAAAAAATTAATAAATTCAGACCCTTGAATTCTAATTACAGTTTTAGCAGTCGAGATAATAAATCGTTAATTTGTTGTAAAAGTGTCCGGACTAACGATGAATTATAATGCAAATTTAAATCGAAGACTCGAAATTAGGGCCTAAGGGGCTAAAACAAAAAAAAAAATGTTTCATTAGATTATGTATGTTCCAATAATATTGAGACCAGGGAAGATTTATAAGAAGAAACCGATGAGGATAATCTTTACAAAAAAAAAATTAATTATAATTTTAATTTGAAAACCGAGATAAATTAATGTTCTGTAATTCTTTATAGTGTATTGAAAAGTTGTAAAAAGATTATATAAATTGTTAGAAAAATGAAAACGAGATAAACGGGGAGAAAGAGATTAATGATCGGGAATACAACTGGTTAGCTGAAATACTTGGACGTTTTATGTGTACATATGTTCATAAGTATACGGTTCCGCGTTCTTTTAGAATCAGGTGCAGCCATACCATCCTAGGATCAATTTGTCGCACTCATTTATACTTTCCACTAATAATTTAACAGACGGAGTTAACCCAGTGGAAATAAATTACGTGACATATAACAGTTATATAACACTTGTATGAAAATGGCAGTTTAAGCGGGCAACTTGTCGGTGATAAATAATTGTTCTGATAGTGTAAAACAGTAATAGTTAGGTGACATTGCATGAGATAACATTTAACATCAATTAAAATATTTATAAAGGGTAGAATAATAAAATTTGGTCTGATAGTGATTTTGAAACTTTTAAAAATTTTCGCTGAGATTATACATATTTATTTTATTTTTATTACTTATTTTTTTTTTGCACAACGTGAATACAAGAGAAGTTTTGCATGATCCGACTGATAACATAATAACTAAAAAAGAAGTGTCTAATCGTACTGCTTTCGATTATGAAGTTCCTTTTCGGAACAACTGCCCACTGTAGACATGTATTTAAACCCTCTAAAAATTTTTTCTTGTGTCTGAGGAGGACAGCTGGGTTGTTAAAACGTAAAAGGAATTACTCTTCTTTTTGTTTTACTTCAGCTCGAAGTGATCGTTTACTTCACTGTTTTTTTATTTAAAAAAAATCAGTTGAAAAATTTAGTCGTTTATTAAGAATTCAAAAAAGCATATGAGTAGAATTTTTATTTGCAAATAAAAACATGCATTAATTCATGTTTTTTTAACAATTTTTAAAATATAAGTGATGTTTGGGTATGTAAGGACTAATTCACTATCGGTTCTAATTCTAATTCTAACTAATTCACTATCACCAAAACTTTTTTTTATGTCTACTGAGTTATAAACTTCAAAGCCTACCGAATCTGGGGAAACTATTTATTTTGCTTTCTAGTTTTTATTTTTAGTGCTAACATTTTCAGTCCTTAAAAAACAAAGCTTGGAAAATTTCACGTCCATGACTTTATTTAACCCCTACATAGCATTTTTATGGTCTTAATGAGATACACATAGGGTACAATAGTCTCCAAACTAACCGCGTAACCCAGTAAACAAACAGGAAGCCATAAAAGTTTCTCGAAGAAAGATTGATGCACTTTCTCCAAATAATCTAACTGTTTTAGACTCAAAACCTGTTCTCCTTAAAATATGGGAAACATTAAGACAGAATGAAATAATTTATCATATGTGATCCATGATTCAGCACCGATTGTGTAGATTATTCTCCTAACAGAACCAAATGATTTCGCATGGGATCAACAAGTGATTTGCAATAGAAATTGAAACAGGGAAAATAAGGGGAACTTAAGTTAAACTTAAGTTAAGTTGTAAGCGGAACTTTTAAAGAAACATGCCAACTATTTATTTAATTATCATGGTATTTTGGTCACTTTACTATTCTTTTTCCAAGTGAGATATTTTTACGGAATTATTCTACAAAAATTTCCGTAGAATTACTTTACACGCACTAAGAGCATTTTTCAACTTAGAGGGCACTGAAATAAATTTCCATTCAAAACCCACATATATGTTAAAAATGTTCTTACGCAGCTTTAAAAATATTCTAAAATTTTAATTGCATTTTTTTTAAATTGCATTTCACAAAAATCAGGTGTTTAAAAATTTGTAAGATCCAAAATCGATGCAATGACATAAACCGTCTCCTGCTTTTCAATCGAAAACAATTCTTAAATTTCTAATAGAAACAAAACCAAATTTCAAGAAATTTGAATTTAATACTCTTTAAAATAATATGATTTTATAAAATATTGAGATTTTATAAGATTCTATTATGCATCTCGCGGGAATCTGGAAAGATAAAAATTAGTTAGATCATGAGCAGCATTGCCAAGAGAAGAAACACGGCAGTCTTTGGGTCCAGAAGATGGTGGCAGGGTGGCTGTTGGACCACTCGAAGTCACCAGGAAGCTTATTTGAGAAAACTTTACTCACGAAAGTATGCCACATGCTTGCAAGGCCATTCGGATGAGGATAATAACGAATCCGTCAATTCACCTTGGAAATCAGCTATTTATGATTTGCCTACAAATGATGAACATTATTTGGATAGTTTTTTGAGAGGGAGAAGTGAAAACGGTAACGGTTGTCCTGCGTTGTCAACTCCAAAGGCTAGTCCTACTGAAAAATGTGTGGAGTTTCTTATAAGAAATGATGCCGTAAATCCGTGCCTCGATCGAAATTTTAACTTGGAAGAAAGTAAGGAACCTCTTCAAATCACAGAGCGCAATCTTGATAATCTTCTAAGAGCTGAATATGGTTCTAATTTGGCGTAAGTTCTCATTTCTTTTGTCAATAAAAACAATTTTTAAATATTGCCTTTATTTGTATATATATCTTTTACAGTATTTTTACTATTTGGTTCATATTCCAATTGAGGGACATGTAAAAGTTGGTACAATTCTATAAAGAAGGAATTATTATATTTTAAACTTAGTTAATCTTTAACATTGGTGCACTTAATTTTAAATTTATATATAAAGAAACGATCGTCATAAAAAAACAAATTTCTATTATCATATAAGTAAAATAGTTTATTAAATATTATGAATGACCGTGGTCACCATACTATTCCCTATAAGTTCATTTCTTTAAAAATTACCCTGCAAACTTGAGTTTATGACAATCACTCTTTTGGTTATAACTTCTTAATTGACAGAATGTTTTATGCTAAATGGGACATTAAAATTTTTCTTATCCTCTTTAAGGCAGTCTCCCCTGTAGCAAAATATGCGCACATATACCGTGTCCTGTGTCATGCTGCAGAATCTTCCACAATTTTTTTTAAAACAATGATATTAATTTTAACTAATTACTTAGGATGTCAAAGTCTCTGCTTCTGAGTAAAACTTGCATCGACTTTGATATCCGCTTAAGAGTAATAATAATTACAATTCAAAAATAAGTTTTAATTTAAAGTTGTCATAAATCTCAATCCTAATCAGTACGAATTTTGAAACTTAAATATTGATTTATTTAAACAATTCTAAGGTTTAGAGAGGTCAAAGTTTAAACTTTTCTATTTACAAGGTATAAATTTAAAAAATACATAATTTCTATAAAACTAAACGAAAAAGAGTTTATAAGATAAACGACATTTTAAATATTTTATTTTATCAAAAAGTTAAGTTTTAAAAAGTTAAGTTTTTTTTCCTAAAAAAAATGTGAAGGTCAAAAAGTGGGACAAGAAACCCCAAAAACCCCCATGTAATAAGTTTCAAGCTAAAATGAATTAAAAAACTTGGTTTGCCATAGTGGATCCATTTTGAATTTTAAAAATCTCAACTCGAATTTAAAATCAGCAAACCTAAAAATCTCTAAGAACATGTTTGGTTTAACAAAATTTCTTGCCATTGTTTCAAAAAACTTTTTTTTATTTTTAATTATCGTTTTTTAAGGTAAAATATTGAATTCTTTTAAAAATCGTTTATACCATTTAAAAGTGCGTAAAAATCGCTATAAAATCTATATAATATAAACATTTTTTCGTTTTATAGAAATTATGTATTTTTTAAATTTACCATATAAATAGAAAAGTTAAAACTTTGACCCTATTAACACTTTATTGTTTAAATAAGTCAATAAATTTTTAATTTTCAAATTTGTACTAATTAGGACTAAGATTCTTACCAACTTTAAACCTGATCAAAGGAAATCAAATTTTTTATCTGGGTCACTTCACATGGAATGCCTCATATGAGGCATTTTACGTGAAATGTCCCAAGTTAAAATTTCATCTTCTTGATAAAAAAAATTGAAACTCGGCGAATTTTTATTGTTCTATCAAGTAGAAATGTGACCTAAAAATATTTTTGACTTTTTCGAAAATTTGGAGAAGGTAGAGGGGGGCGGGGGTCAATTTTACCAATTTTGCTAAACACCGTCGACTTTTTCAATTTTTTCTGCACATACATACAATGAGAAAAATTCCGTCCAATATATTTCTGGAAGGTTTTTTCATGCTCTTTCCAATGGTGAATTTTATTTATTAAAAAATTTTAAAAATTGACCCTAATTTTTGATAATTAATATTTAATTTCATATTTTCACACAATAAATTGGTCAAAAAGTTTTTGTTTTATAATTTTAGCTTGACATCATAATGAATATTCTGATGAGGGTGATACACACGATCATCGAAACGTTAAACTTGTGTAAAGTTTATTTTCACTTTTGACTAGCTGAATCGCTCCCATCTTAATATAAGGGTTTTCTCCGATAATTGTTTAGAAACGTAGATGTATATATAATTAACATAAAATCAAAAAATAGTGATTGAGCAATCTATATGTCGGATACGGCATATATACTTTGATAGATATTTAAAGTAGACATTTCATGAATTCAAATTATGTTAATTAGGGAAATTAAGAAATAGCTGTTCAGACATTTGTCATAAATTTTTTATTTGGTTGTTTGTTATTGATGCTTGCCTACAATTTTGAGAAGTAGCTAACGCTTGTACTTGTAATAGACTGTTCTTTTTATTTATTCTTCTAAGCTTATTTATTCCTTTGGCCTTCTTTTGTTACGCTTCAATTAATTATTTCGTATTTTCTTGTCGACTCATATAATTTTCTATTTCTTCGATTAATTTTTTACGACTTTTCTTATCCTTTACTATTTTCAATCTTCTCTTCTTTACTGGAAGAAGAGGCATTTCACTGAAATCTCGAGAGAATTCGTTGGAACTTTGACCTACCCCGAATTGGTAACTAGCACTTATCGATATTATCTTCATAAAACTATAAGCCAAAATCAATGGTTATCATCGAATTATCTTGAGGTGAAAGTAGATCATCTGCAGGTAACTAACCTTGATCAAAAACATCACGAATACCATGGATAAGTTAACTTTTAAAATCAAGATGACCACTTGAAGGACTTTTAGCGCCTAACTTAGTCAGAACCACCTTAAAAAGCAGGTTTAGGCATAGGTACCTACAAAAAAGTATCATAAACTGTTTTGTACATTGGAAATAAAATATTTTATCTGTTTTAATAACTTTTGAAATCTAAAATTATAGAATTTAAATGGAAAATTTGGCATTTCTTCTTAAAAGAGAACCAAAGTTTTGAATATTTGGTATTTAATTTTGAGTTACCAATCATTTTTTGAAATGTGAAAAAAGAATTTTAAAACATTAAGAAAACAACAGGTAATACGGATTGTTCAAGACATTCTACAGACTATACAAGGTCCGTAAGATATCTTGAAATATCTGGCATTGTGTGGCAGGTGTTTCACTATATCCAACTCTCCCCTACTATAGCAAGTGTCGTTATTAATTAGAACACATGTCACAATTTGAATTAGTGAAAATGATTACCGGTAATTGCAAAAATTCCGCGAACTAATCCCCAAAAACTCCTCAAAATTTTCTATTTAAATAGAAGAAAATTTTGCTGAATTACTCAATTGATTAACTCGGTGCGGTTTCTACATTTGTCAGTAATCTTCTTTCGCAGGATATGTCGTCTACTGATTCAAATTAGTATTTTCAAAAATTTTTAAATTTAATTAATTTACAGAAGTTTTAATTATGTGTTTTCCCAGATCACTTCTCGTAAAATTCTTAACTTACAAATCCTTTACCGCATATCTGGTTATTATAGTGTTTTTGTACAAAAATATTCGAAGGTCTTATTTTTTTCACAGCGTCTAGACAATTAAGGAAAAAAAGGTGATATGGCTATCACCCTTTTATAAACTTTATATATAAATTTTTTTTAAATTTATCAACTGAAATTAAGAATAATGTGAGTGAAATTTAATTGGCAAGAAAGATATAAGCAATTATCGCTCACATTTATGACTACCACAATTTTATGACATCAACTTTAAATGTAGTTTACGTCCATCTTCGTTTACTTGTTCTCTATAAGACTCGTCATGTTTAAGGACAAAAATTTAAAACCGCTATTTAACATTTTATTCAGATGCATAAATTATTCTCAAATAAACAACTTTTATATCTTAAGAGATAACGTGGACCGTCTTTAAAAGAATCGCAAATATTTGGATTGGAAGTCATTTATTTTCGATTCATGGCAAAATTTTTCACTCACTCGATACAGCATGTTACTACATGTATACAGTTGGTTAGTTGTATAAGTTACATTGTAAAATTCATGTAGACTTGAGAAGGAGCTTAAAAGGTACACTTCATCAGTAGCTAATATTTTAATACATCAAGGGAGTACTTTTTACTTTTTTTTAGAACAGATTTGATAGAAAATAGATTTTTAAGTATTGTTATTATAGTGTTCAGGGTCCTAATTAATTTTGTTAAACAGTTTTGCTATTTGCATTAATCTGTTTTGTATAATCTCTAAAAAGATGTTTCTAATTAGATAGTAATTTCTACCGATGATGCAACACAATAAAATTTTTTTGTTAACTTAGTAAATTATTTTCAGGATTTTAACTTACATGCTGAATGGCATTTTTTGCAACATCGTATGATTAAAATGCATGCGATGGAATTTTTGGTACAGCAATACGTCATATGTGAAAGTTTCTAAAGACCTGATATTAAACTTAATGCATTTCCAAAAGCATTTTTTCAGTTAATTAAAAATAAGATCAATACAATAAAGTTTGATTATTGTAACAATGATGATCTCTTAAATTTCAGATTATTTTTAATATTTTATTAATTTTAAAATATATGATAAATTTAAAACAAAATTCGAGTAATAAAGAAATTAAAACATAAGTTCTAAATAATTGAACAAAAGACTTACCCACGTCGTTTTTTACAGAAAAGTTTGCAAGAGCTGCAAGTGTCCAAGAGAAGGTCACCATCAGGTAGCGTCTGGAGAATTGGAAGTACTGCCAAGTATAGGACTGGTTCCAGGTTCGCGAATGGCAATGGCAATGACATTTCAGAGCATTGGAGCTGTAGCCATCACTAACTCTCATCAGGAACCATTCAAAGTTCCAGTCCAACCTCCCCAAGATGCACCTCTTTTGCCAGATCCTCTTGTTCAGCATCATCATCATCAAAGACATTCTCAAAGTGATGATGACAGCGGTTGCGCTCTCGAGGAATATACCTGGGTACCTCCGGGTCTAAGACCCGATCAAGTGAGTAATAATTACTGGAATGCCATTACAAACTTCACCCCAATCTTCTAATTAATAGATATAGCTGACAAGGATATGTTTTATAACATTCAGACCAAAGACAATTTCCTATTACAATATTAATCATGCGCAAAATCATTTAAATTCAGATTTCACGAAAACCACAGCTCCTGCAGTTTTCGTCACTCCTTTGGACAAGAATCATCTGATAGGAGAAATACTTTTTCTCTGCTCGATTATCTACCAATAACTCTTTAATTTTCTAGGTTCATTTATTCTTCAGTGGACTACCTGAAGATAGAATTCCTTACGTTGGAAGTGCTGGCGAAAGAGAAAGAGTGAGGCAGTTGTTGCAGCAATTACCACCTCACGATAACGAAGCTAGATATTGCAGTGGTTTGAGTGAAGAAGAAAAACGAGAACTTAGAGTCTTTGCAGGACAAAGAAAACGAGAAGCTCTTGGACGTGGTCAAGCTGGCCAAGTGGAGCGAGCTCATGGAAGCGGATGCCGAGAATGCGGTAGGACCATTGCTTCCGGAGAAATGGTTGTCGCTGCGAATAGAGCAGGACCCACTGCTCTCTGGCATCCGGCTTGTTTTGTCTGCTGTGTTTGCAGACAACTTCTGGTTGATCTCATTTATTTCTGGAGAGACGGAAGACTGTATTGCGGCCGCCATCATGCAGAGACCCTTAAACCAAGATGTTGTGCTTGCGATGAAATTATTCTTGCCGATGAGTGCACTGAAGCTGAAGGCAGAGCCTGGCACATGAGGCACTTTGCTTGTCTAGAATGCGATCGACAAGTAAGTTGCTATGCTACTAATATAATCAATATAGTAATACCCCGAATTACGCTACCCCGTTTTACGCGAATTCGGAGATACGCGGTTTTTTTATGTTTTTTTATCTTGAGATTTTTGCGCCAGATTTGTGATCTTCTAATTAATAGTCGACAAGGATAAATTTGGTACCATTCAGACGAAAAATAATTTCATGTTACGATTTATTTTTCTAGCTTGGAGGGCAGAGATATGTGATGAGAGAAGGCAGACCCTACTGTCTGCATTGTTTCGATGCTTCTTTTGCTGAATATTGTGACAGTTGCGGTGAGCCAATTGGAGTCGATCAGGGACAAATGTCTCACGAGGGTCAGCACTGGCACGCGACGGAGAGTTGCTTTTGTTGCGCTACTTGTCGAACGTCACTTTTAGGAAGACCGTTTTTACCTCGACGTGGATCAATCTACTGTAGCATTGCCTGCAGCAAAGGAGAACCGCCAACACCAAGCGATTCATCTGCTGGACCTCCGCCTCCACCACCTCCTATCTACCTAAGGTAAGCTTAGAATTCACTCTCTAGTCATGATTCTCATTCCATTGTATCTTCCCCAAATTAGACGGTTTATAAATGCTTAATTCTTTTCAGGATACCTAGAAGGCAACCCCAACCTTCAAGTGAAGGATCCTCGAGTCCACCACCACCTCCAAACTCCAGGCATACTCTCGGTTCGCCTAGGAATTCTCCTCGGTTGATCCGAAAGCAACCTCGTCAGCGTGTTGCTGCTTCCTTAGCTACTACTCCGACTCATGGAACTACCACTGCCGAAATTCTGAATGAAGACCTTCCGAGTGGAAGTTCTAGATTCGGAGGACTTGACAGGGTGCTTCTTAACAGAAACCTTGAGAAGCTAGTTCAGGAACGAGTAACTCATTCCGAAGACATATCTAATGATACAGAAAGGTTAGTGACTATAAAATATAAATACTTCTGTTAGCATATTTTTGCAGTTTATATTTAATTTTTAGAATACATTTGTTTTCATTACTTATTTCCATCAATATATTTCAGACTGAGTCAAGAGGCAGATCGAGAACCTCTTCAATGTGCTCAAAGTTGTCCTCCATCTCATACGTCAAGTATGTCAGAACTTCCTCCACCGCCAATGTCTCTAACAACTTTAGCAATAACCGAATTATCAGGCGTAGCGTCAACAGCATCTGGGTCACCAAGTGCACAAACTACGAGCAGTACAACGAATAATGTTCTTAGTCCCGATGTATCAACGCCAACTTTACGCAGAGTTCGATTTCAGGGTGATGACAATACTGCAAGTCCAACGTCGCCCCTTTCGGCTGAAGAACGTATACAACAATTTTCACCTCTAAAGTCGAAATTGAATGCGTCTCGGTCAAAAAGTTTACCACCTGAAGAAGTTGATGGACCATCTTGGAGTAAGTTCGAAGAACTTTTTACTTATAGAATACGCGCACGATTTAAGTACTTGGTTCTATATGGTTATCTAAAAAGTTTCTTAATTAAAATTAACAAAAATATTTACTTATAGGTTTTTAATCACCTAGTATAAAATGCGATCTAGGCTAGGTGCAAAATTTTTATTGCTTCTAGAAAAAGCGATGTAGAATTCTAATTTTGAGAAAGGTTTATTATAAGGGTCGTCATCATTAATTTGTGTTATTCATACGTGTTGGGTGGAATGGGGTCCTCTCTAATTATATCTTTTTGGCGAGCGAGCAGTTCTTCGGAATTAGAGTCATTAGTGACTGTAGGTTTGGAGAATTTACCAAAGAAGGCCCTTATAAGGCTCCATATTTTGTTCGCACCCATATTCGGTGAGATTGAGAGTTGTCAGAATTATTTTCCTGTTACAGCACGAATAAGTCAGCGTAGGCAGAGGGTTAAATTACTATTAAAAGTTACAATTATTTTACTTCTTGTCAAACTCTTCCCTGTTGAAAAATTGAAACAAAGTGCGTTTAAATAATGTGTTATAAAATGTGTATTCGATGTGAATTTCGTGTTTAAGAACACAATAAATGTGTTTGATGCGTGTATATTGGAACGTTTCAGTGTTTCATAAACACTTATTAGACCTTCTATTGTTGGTCACATTTTCGACAGGGTTGTATATTCAAAGAAACTTACAAATTATCCATTTTCAGCGGAAATTACATCGAGGGTGAAAGCTGAGGATGAAGAGAGTTGTTGTTCGACTTGCAGTACATCGAGCAGTTCCGATGAAGCATCAGCTTATACTTTGCCACCAAGACGTGCCTATGGTGGCGTGAGGATTTCTTATGTGCCAAATGATACTGTTGCTTGTGCTCGACGTCGAGCACCGTCTACTGATACTTCTTGTCATAGTCAAAAGGACACCGAAAAATGTGTCTTATCTTAATGAAAAATACATTTATCTTTTATTTCTATTATTTTACATCCTGGGTGCCTCGCCATTACACACAGGATTAACAGTTTCAGAAAGTCCAATTTCAGAAATGTTCTGAAATCTCCAATTTCACAATTTGTACTTTATTATATTGCAAAAATCGCTATTTCATTAAAGTTCACAATCTCATTGAGTGATGAATTCGTATTCTCATAAGCTTTTAAGAAAAACACTTCTGAATTAAAAGTTTATTTATTTCTGTCTACAAAAACCCTTTGAGTACCTAATCTTTTGTCGATAAATTTATTGCTTCACAATAGGTTTGTGCGATAAAAAACTGTTTCATTACGTTATTCTGGTAATCATCAAACGTCGTAAAGCTTTCTAAGAATAATGGTAGTTTTTTCAAAAGCTAAAAGTGTACAAAATTTACAAATTTTAACAACAAATGAAAGCTATGACTGAGCTATGATTGATAAATGATTGGGAACTCTAAAAGCATTAAATGCAAAATTAAACAATCTTTCATTCAAAACAAACAACTTCTTAAAAAATATGAGAGTATAAATCTCACTCTGGAGTCTCTTGTTATCTTACTTCTAACATAAACATTAAATTCTTTTAAATTTATGAACTTATTTGATAAATTCTTAAATGTTCCTAAATAACTACATGGCTCAACTTACAGACTTAAACAAAACTTATCAATTAGGGAAAATTACTTTTTTCTTCGGATGGTGCCAATTATAAAAATTAGACTGTATTATGTCGAATTTAAAATCATTTGTAATATATGTAAGATTGTACATATCACTTTCATACTAATAAAAATTATCATTCATGTAAATAGTGTCTTAAAGTCTGAATGTGGTCAGTGACTTACAATTTGCAATTGAAAGTTTTTATATTTGTAAAAATATTTTGCTTTCTTTTATTACTTATATGTGACCTGGTCTATGAAAAGGGACCTTACGTGTCAAAAAATCATTTTTTACTTTTTTATTGATTCGGATAGAGTTTGAAACGCTCTTTAAGATGGTGAAAACCAAAAAGTCATAAGTTGATTAGAAGTTTTTTAAAAATTTTTTTAAAGTTAAAAGAAACAAGAGTAAAAATACGAAAAAACTGATTTTTTTGTTATTATACAAATTAAAATAACGATGATGATAATTTTTTATTATTTAGAAAAGTTGAAAGTTTCTTTGACAACTGTCGACAGTTAAAATTCAAATTTGATATCATATTTGTAATCAGCGGCCTCGAAAACCCTTACAAACATGTGTCATTTATTTATACTTATTGTTGCTATTTAGAAAACTTAGATTATTTTTTATGTGTTTGTTATTAATTTATATAAACAATTATTCAAAAAAATTTTTCATTACTTGTATTACGTAAGTACAACTTACGGTTTTCGTACAAAATCAAATCCAAAGAAATGTTGAGTTTCTCCCCCCTCCCCAAGGGGGGGGGGTGACCCAACTTTTTGGTTTTAAGCTAATCACATGTGCCACTACTGATTTATAAAATAATCTCGAGTAAGGTATTTTTTCCAAAATAATGCCAGATTGACTGTACTACAAATATTTTTTGTTTTTTCAATTTATATAGGGTATACTTATTTTTGGAACTTTTCAAAAAAATTAATAACAAAAATTTGTTAAATATATTATTACTTTCTCTTACCTTTGCCGTCAAAATATCTTCAGGAAATTTTTGAATTGAATAATGTTCAGTGAGAAACTTGTTCCTTACGTCGTATCACTATATAAGCAATAGCAGACGGTTTACATTCTTAAAGACCGCAATTAAATATTTTAACTTCATTTTTACAATAATATTATGTCAACTTACTGTTATTTTTATAGGTTATGTTTTATAAATATTTTCAAAACACATTGATATTTTTTCAGGTTATTTATGATAACTGAAAACTAATATAAATTCATTAATAAGTCACATTAAATAAACGCGTTTATATTAATTGCAAACTTTTGTTTGGTAACAAAGCAAATCTTAGGCCAAAGCAGAATAAAAAATGTAACTGGAATATCGGAATCGCAATCACAAACAGAAGAGAGAGTTAGAGAAGGATAGTTGTATAGTTTATTCTTCTCTGTCGTTCTTCCGGTTTTGGTTTGCGATTCCAGTTACGTTCATACGGTTTATACGTTTCTATTTTACTTTGGATTAATAGTGGGGGTAATTAAATTACGATTTTTATTTTTCTGGGCATATATAAATTTAAATATTCTTGAATTTTTCACAACTTTCTCACTTTTCATCAATGTTTTCCAAGCATAAAACGCATTACATAAGTACGATAAGTACATGGTACAACACACGGTACACACAGTTGCCAGATGCGCAGAATAGCCAAATTTATCAACTGCGCAAACTGAAAACTCCACTATCTATAGGCCCCATTATTTTTATTCTTTACAAAAATCAAAAGCTGGTTGCACCTCTTGTAGTATCTAGTCTTTTTGGTTTAATTTGACATGCTTTTAAACTATTTGTGTGAAAAAGATTAGTGAAAATATTCGGAAAGTACCATTTAAAAAACTGTTTTGTGTTATAAATTAAAGTGATTGCTATTCGACCATGGTTGAGGTTATACAGTATTCTAATTCCGCAACCGAAGAAAGTTCAGCAGTTCGCAAAAAAATAATTCAAAAAAATCGAAAAACAAGGTATATATTTCTTTAATTAATAAAAATGTCTAAATTTAAAAATTATCGTTTACTGAGAAAGAACTGAAAGAAGAACGTGATTTTCAATTATATTTCGCCAGAGGAAAATAGTCGTAAGTCTACATTTTCAAAATATTTTATACAAAATTTGGACATTATTATTATTACTAGCCAAACTATCCGCGCGCAAGCGCGCGGGAATGTTGTGTGGGGCTGCTTATTTTAACCAATTTAAAAAATTTTAAAGAAATAATTATTATAACCTAACAAAGAGATTTAACTAACTAAAATTCAAATAATTTCACTCAATGGTCTCAATTTAAATAGAATTTACATTACTAGACTTAAACTATGGCTAGAACAATTACAATTAGTATCTGGGTCATCTTTTGCATTGCTTATTTTATAAAGCCATTTTAAATTAAATACTTTTTAAAGAAATAATAATTATTACACACTGAAAAAAGTTTTACTTGAAATAGCGATAAGTTTCTCTAGAATAACGAAAGTATTAATTGAAGCACTGAATAATTTCGCTACTAAAGTGAAATCTGTAGCTGTAGTTCATCCAGCTAAATATTTTTTGCCGTGCATAACGAAAAAAGAATTAAATTAACATCAGATTTTCTACATTCAAAAAAAAAACGAATTCAAATAGAAATTAATCATTTTACAACTTAACCAAATTCACCACAGAAATCACTGAATTCGATAATTTAGAAGAAAGTCAGACAAAAGCAGGGTTCCTACAGAATCTGGAAAATAATGAAAATGGTATAGAATTTTTAAAAGGCTTCAGGAAATCAGGGAAATCATGGAAAAGGCCTGGAATTTTTAAAAGTTTCTAAATTTTTTCAGTTTTCCATTTTTTCTCTTGAATAAAAATTCAAATAATAATAATAAAGCTAAATGGCATAAAAGACAAAAAAAATGTTGAATTTTAAGCAATTCGATTTTTCGGATTTTTGATAATTTTTAATAATTTTTGATTTTTTACCAAAGAGTCGAGACAATTTAATAAGTAAAGTATTTTCCAAAAGCACAAAAATAATAAAGCTAAATCCCATAAAAGAGAAAAAAAAATGTTGAATTTTAAGAAAATCAAATTTTTGAATTTTTTCGAATTTTTGATAATTTTAGATTTTTTACCAAAGAGTCGAGACTATTAAATAAGTAAAGTGTTTTCCAAAAGCACAAAAATAATGAAGCTTAATCCCATAAAAGAGAAGAAAAAATGTTGAATTTTAAGAAATTCGGATTTTTGAATTTTTGATATTTTCGATAATTTTAGATTTTTTACCAAAGAGTCGAGACTACTAAATAAGAAAAGTATTTTCCAAAAGCACAAAAATAATAAAGCTAAATCCAATAAAAGAGAAGAAAAAATGTTGAATTTTAAGAAATTCGGATTTTTGAATTTTTTCGAATTTTTGATAATTTTAGATTTTTTACCAAAGAGTCGAGACAATTTAATAAGTAAAGTATTTTCTAAAAGCACAAAAATAATGAAGCTAAATCCCATAAAAGAAAAGAAAAAATGTTGAATTTTAAGAAATTCGTATTTTTGGATTTTTTCGAATTTTTGCTAATTTTAGATTTTTTACCAAAGAGTCGAGACAATTTAATAAGTAAAGTATTTTCTAAAAGCACAAAAATAATGAAGCTAAAACCCATAAAAGAGAAGAAAAAATGTTGAATTTTAAGAAAATCGAATTTTTGAATTTTTTCGAATTTTTGATAATTTTAGATTTTTTACCAAAGAGTCGAGACAATTTAATAAGTAAAGTATTTTCTAAAAGCACAAAAATAATGAAGCTAAAACCCATAAAAGAGAAGAAAAAATGTTGAATTTTAAGAAAATCGAATTTTTGAATTTTTTCGAATTTTTGACTTTTTACCAAAGAGTCGAGGCAATTTAATAAGTAAAGTATTTTCTAAAAGCACAAAAATAATGAAGCTAAATCCCATAAAAGAAAAGAAAAAATGTTGAATTTTAAGAAATTCGTATTTTTGAATTTTTTCGAATTTTTGCTAATTTTAGATTTTTTACCAAAGAGTCGAGACTATTACACAAGTAAAGTATTTTCCAAAAGCACAAACATAATAAAGCTAAATCCAATAAAAGAGAAGAAAAAATGTTGAATTTTAAGAAATTCGGATTTTTGAATTTTTTCGAATTTTTGATAATTTTAGATTTTTTACCAAAGAGTCGAGACAATTTAATAAGTAAAGTATTTTCTAAAAGCACAAAAATAATGAAGCTAAAACCCATAAAAGAGAAGAAAAAATGTTGAATTTTAAGAAAATCGAATTTTTGAATTTTTTCGAATTTTTGCTAATTTTAGATTTTTTACCAAAGAGTCGAGACAATTAAATAAGTAAAGTATTTTCCAAAAGCACAAAAATAATGAAGCTTAATCCCATAAAAGAGAAGAAAAAAAGTTGAATTTTAAGAAATTCGGATTTTTGAATTTTTGATAATTTTCGATAATTTTAGATTTTTTACCAAAAAGTCGAGACAATTTAATAAGTAAAGTATTTTCCAAAAGCACAAAAATAATTAAGCTTAATCCCATAAAAGAGAAGAAAAAATGTTGAATTTTAAGAAATTCGGATTTTTGAATTTTTGATAATTTTTGATAATTTTAGATTTTTTACCAAAGATTCGAGACAATTTAATTAGTAAAGTATTTTTCAAAAGCACAAAAATAATGAAGCTAAATCCCATAAAAGACAAGAAAAAATGTTGAATTTTAAGAAAATCGAATTTTTGAATTTTTTCGAATTTTTGATTTTTTACCAAAGAGTCGAGACAATTTAATAAGTAAAGTATTTTCTAAAAGCACAAAAATAATGAAGCTAAATCCCATAAAAGAAAAGAAAAAATGTTGAATTTTAAGAAATTCGTATTTTTGAATTTTTTCGAATTTTTGCTAATTTTAGATTTTTTACCAAAGAGTCGAGACTATTACACAAGTAAAGTATTTTCCAAAAGCACAAAAATAATAAAGCTAAATCCCATAAAAGAGAAGAAAAAATGTTGAATTTTAAGAAATTCGGATTTTTGAATTTTTGATAATTTTTGATAATTTTAGATTTTTTACCAAAGAGTCGAGACAATTTAATAAGTAAAGTATTTTCTAAAAGCACAAACATAATAAAGCTAAATCCAATAAAAGAGAAGAAAAAATGTTGAATTTTAAGAAATTCGGATTTTTGAATTTTTTCGAATTTTTGATAATTTTAGATTTTTTACCAAAGAGTCGAGACAATTTAATAAGTAAAGTATTTTCTAAAAGCACAAAAATAATGAAGCTAAATCCCATAAAAGAGAAGAAAAAATGTTGAATTTTAAGAAAATCGAATTTTTGCTAATTTTAG